TCTCAATCTTGATCGCGTAAATACTTGTAAAACATGTGCAGAGAGATGGTCTATTGTAGATTCTATAAAATCGACCAGGGAATTTTCTGGCGGGAAAAAAGTGGAAAACTAAAGCTAATAACACCAGAAGTTTTTTTAGTTTTCCTATTCATGACGAAAAAGGTTAGGACTGCGTTGTTATTCATTTGTAGATATGCGGAGTGTGTTTTTATTTTTCCTTCAAAACGCACGACTCTTTACAGATGTTTAAATTATGTCGTAAACATATGCTTGGTTTATTCCTCTTTACACCCCATTTCCATGATCTTTAGTTACCCGTCAGGAAAAATTAAAAAAGAAAACTAGAAAATGTATGGTTGTATCTATAGAGAGATGAAAAGCGTTGCGCCGCTATTGAAACAGTGATTGTACACCCTCGGGTACCTTTAAACGTGGCAAAACTTCGTCTAAAATATCTCATATTGTCGAGCCCAGCACAGTAAGATACTGACATCCAAGGAAGATCTATTATTTTATACATACAACCCTCAAACCGATCCAACGGTAGTCTTTTTTGTGATGATCATCTTGTAATGCAATGTTGCTTCTTTCATTCTAAAGACTTACCCATCAGGTACATCTTAATTTCTTAATTCCAGGGTCATGTTTTAAATCTACTTTTGTTCATGTTTGTTCATCTGATTGAGTTTGTTGACTTTGAATATTGCCTTTGTAGGCTGAAGTATCCTATTGTTTTTATCCGGGTTGTCCTAATAAAGAATCTCTTTCAGGACCAATGTAATTTTGCCCACGTACCAAAAAGAAATAAAAATGGGTGGTATTTGAAGTGCCTCGAGTGACTATCAATGAAATCAGATTAAAACATTCAAAAGGTCCATAGCGCCTGCGCTACCATCCATTTAGTGGCTTAACCGTAGGAGCATTTAATTATTTCATTTGGTATGTGTGCAAAATTCAATTGTTCCTGAAAGAGATCATTTCGGTTTAAATTTGTATAAACATTAATTTCAAATATTACTTCGCATCAAGTTTAGCATTATATTTCTGTTGTTTAAAGAAAGGAGATTATTTGCCTCGGTAATGTGACATACGAAGTTTAAATACGCGCTGATAACGTGTATATGTTTGGAAGTTTACGTAATCGCCGCATGACGTAGATAACGGGGGCGTGTGGTTTAAATGCCATTTTGAAACACGTAGATAAAAGATATTTGTGATGATTAAGAACAAACGCTTCTCAACAAAATATGAATCTCCGAAATGTCAGAAAATATTAAGATAGTTTTGTACGTAAAACAGGAGTGTTATCGGTTGGTTTTCCCCATTTGCAGCACAACCTCATAATCAATGAACGTTTAGAAAAATCCTCAAGAAAGCTGTATTAACATTTAATAAGACATTGGGGTGAGATTACACTGTCGCAGCAAATTTTCAAATTTTAAAATAGAGGCCAAATCGAATTCCATGAAAATCTTCTAAAGCACTCTTTATCAACTTAGATAGGTCTCCAGAGATAATATTTTTTTCCTCCCTGCTTTTGCTTTAAAATGTTAACATTGATTTTTGAATCTTTTTGTTGTGTGTGAAAGGGATCCGCTCTTGTTTAATTCAGAAACTTTAGTCGCCTCCACAGAAGTGATCTTTGTATGCTTACGTTAGACAAGACGGTCTGTTTTATCAATAAACACTCAGGGGAAGCGAGATTCATCAAGCCAAACTATTAGAGCAAACATTCGTAATATAATAGTGCATTCCTGTTAACGAGGGTTTATTCTCTGTTTGGTTCATTTTCAATTTCCTGAATCGATCTCTTTGTAATTGCATCGGAAATTAGTTTAAATGTTAAAGTTTATTTTAAAAAGTCAAAGTAAAAAATAAGAATGTTTCTCAAGAGATTCAACGTCTTGATTCAGTTTGATTTGTATTTTGTAGCGTTGTAGCTACGGCTGACCCTCGGCGTTTGCATTGCAACGTTTGCCAGCCTTACGGACATGTCGAGAAGAAGGAACATGACTTACTATCGACAATGACTCCGTCGTATTCTGGGACATTGTCTGTCGGTAAGAATTAACAAATAAAGTGTTAATCTCAAACTTAACAAGGTGCTGTCCTCTTCCATGTCAGCTTAAATATACATTTATCAACCTTAACTGACCATAAAAGATCTAAAAATCCAATATACACTCTGTTGATACAATGTATAACCTTTGTCAGATCACCTATAACAGAGCCAGTCCAATGCAGTTTGATTAACTTACATGGTACGTTCTAAGTTAGTGGCCAAGCCTGATAATGAAATCTTCGAATATGTACATACTATTGAATTATGTGGGATTTAAAACTCGTTTTAAAAAATATTTTAAATATTTGAATATTTCTTTTTAAAAAAGCATGCAGTGTATGATCGATTGATCATACCATTAGTTTATTTTCAATGCAAATCGTTCAATGATCTCTATATTGAGTACAAACTTATGGACTTCAAAGTGATCTCATTGAAAAATATTCTATTTCTTTGTGCGATATAAGGCTTAACATGTTGGATTCTCGTTACTTTGCCTGTTAGTTCTGTTGTTGTAACCTTGTTCTCATTTGAGAACGTGACATTACTTACTTGGATTGGCCAAGCTTTACATGGCGGGTGTAGTCGACGAAACAGAAGATCCTCACCCTATATAATCAATGTGTCCATTTATATATACATATACTTATATATTTTTATATATTTATATGCGTTGACACACTTTTATATATATATAATTACTTTAAAATCTTTATACATTTACATAGATATTTACACATTTTTATATATTTATACACGTTTGTGTCTTTATACACTTTATTTATATTTACATATACTGCTATAAACTTATATACACTTGGTATATTTATACTTTTTGATACATCTATGTACTTTCATATATTTATACACTTACGTAGGTATTTATACACATTTATCTATTTATACAATTTTGCATATTAATATACCTTCATTTATTTGTATATTTTATATACTTATACATTTACATATATATATTTATACACATGTATTTATACATTTTATATATTTATAAACTTTTACATAGCTACACACTTTTATATATTTATAAGTTTTCATATATTTATACATATACACAAAATAATGTTGATGTGTTTGTCAATAAATGCAGAAGAGTTCATCGCAATTTAGATATACGCAATGGAATATATTTCTTTTTCATTCCACTGTTTACTTTAGTATTGATAACAGTTATCAATAAAGATAATGAACCAGCGATTATGTCAATATTGATTTATTCTGAGGAAACAGGAAACATTTAAAAGTTTTTCGTCTTTTAATTTTTTTTTTTTACATGGGTGTCACTCTGAGATTATTTGAAAAATATAAAAAAAATATAGCAGTTTGAGCTTCTCAAATTATAGCATAAAAATAAAAACAAAAATAAAAAGGGCATCTTAGAAATGATATTTTAATCAACAACAATTTGAACATGTAACAAACCCTTTGCTTCTCATCTTCATGGTAACGGGCCTTATCACATTTAATATTTACAGGCATCCAACTGAAATTAATCTTGATGTTTAGTTTTCATCCCGTTTTTATTGCATATAGATATTGCTCATACGAGTCTCCACATCAACGTCATGTTACAACCCTTTCAAATCCAGTGTTTGGTGTTGCGAACTAAAAAGAAATAAGCGATCATCTAAAATTAAACACGTCACGTGCTTCAGCAAGCCACGTCGCAACATGAAAATTCCTACATGTTCATTGACACTAAATCATAAATGGCCATAACAGACTTAAAAAAACCTTTTTTTTTTAAATACAATTAAGAATAGCTGTTGTAGAGAATTATTTAAACGACGCTAAAGGTCTTGCGATTTGACGGTAGAAATATCAGATATGTTTAGATATTTTTTTTTTATAAAATATCACAAATTCGAGTATCATGTCAAGATGAAATATAGACCCTAATCGTCAACGTTCTCTTACACAGTTATGACTTTTACAGTGATGTGTGTACTTAAAGCGCATTTTTTAAAAGTGGAAATCTTGACATTTGTACTCTTCATACAATTTGAAACAATGTATCCACGTAACTAAAGTTGTTTATAAAAACGCGTTGCTTTTGGTTGACGAGAAAATCAGTATCAGACCGTTTTCCATCACGGCATGGTGAATGGCACGGCTTAATAGATTTACACAATGCTCCATACTTTTTACAAAAACCGACGAACAAGTTTTTGTGAAGATATAGCCTCTTCCTAAGTGGTATTGTAACTCAGTTTCAATACTAAGTTTTCAATTGAAACATTACTTTCTCTACTGCTTTCTCGGGCGAAAATTGATCAAACTCCAAAACAAGTCTAAAAACGACACGTATACATACGTTCGGGCTTAGAAGAATTATACAAAAGACCAAAAGACTCAAATGACATAACAGCAATTAAAAAAAATGAAATACAATTGATGGGATAATTTGGATGGTATCTCGTTGTTTACCATCGAATTTTATATATTTGTCATAAATAAGCTTAAACACTGGGATTGATTTTGTAGTTTCTCCATACAAATTGATCTGTATTATTAGAATAAAAGGCAGACTTCGACAATTCGTTTTATCCAGAATTGATGTAATATATATCCAATTTATCAAAATATCTGTTGCAATCATATATTGATCCTTCAAAAACACCATACAACAATATGTGTATAATCGTTACACACTGCACTTCAGTCTCCATTGGTGGTCTTGTGCAATACACAATGTCAGATTTAATTCCGATTCGATCTTTCATTTTGATGTGTTCCATAATTTATAAGCTGTTCTTTTTTTTACTAATTTCCTTGAAACCTGTGTATTTTCGGAATTACTCTAAGAGTTGTTTACGTGAAAACGATGGAAATATCGGCGAGATTTGATATAAATTTGTTCCTTCTATTAAGAGTGAGTCCCAACAGGAAGTAGCCTTTCTGGACGGCGGATATGACATATTCATACTGAGTCGTCGGCGCGCTTGCCTATTCTAATAAAAGATGAATGACCTAGACGCCCCACTCTGACGTATGGTCGCCTCCCTATTCTCATAAAGGACGATGTAGGGATCTTTCCGATGCGTATGAATGCTCTTTTCATGTCAGCACCAATGTCGTCCGCACTTCGTCCAATACGCATGAATGAACTCATCCTCTTTTCTGGTTGTTCGCTGTCACTGTCGGTGTCAACGTCAGAAACTTCATTTTCGCCATCATAATTTCTGCCTATACGCATGAAAGAGCTCATTCTTTTGCCTTCAGGAGTGTCCATACTTTTTCCAATCCGCATGAATGAACTCATCCTTTTGTCTTCTGGATTGTCCATACTTTTACCGATTCGCATGAATGAACTCATTCTTTTGTCCAGTGGTTCATCTGAATTCTTTCCGATTCTCATAAAAGAACTCAATCGTTTCTCGACGTCATCCTCTGCCAGACTTTTGCCAATACGCATAAAAGAGCTCATTCTTTTATCCTGTGGTTCGTCGTCCATGCTTTTTCCTATTCTCATGAAGGAGCTCATTCTCTTATTAAGTGACTCGTCATTCAAACTTTTTCCTATTCTCATAAAAGAGCTCAATCTTTTGTCGTAGGGTTCAACGTTGCTTCTACCAATTCTCATAAAAGAGCTTAATCGCTTGTCCATGGGATCATCAGAGTTTTTACCGATTCTCATGAATGAGCTGATACGTTTGTTTTCTTGGGGATCGTAAGAACTTTTCCCTATTCTCATAAAAGAGCTTAAACGCTTATTTTCGTCCATAAGTCCATTTTCGTTTGTTGCGTCATAGGATTTGCCTATTCTCATGAAAGAACTCATCCTTTTTTCATCTCCTTCCACGGAATGGTCTGCACCATCTTTACCAATACGAACAAATGAGCTCAATCCCCGTTCAACTCTGTTATGACTATTGCTGTCAGCTTCTGCATCATTTTCAACTTCCGTTTCCGCTTTTGCAAGTTTGAAGTATAATAGCATTAGAACTAAGAGACTCCATGGTCGAACCAAATACATGTCTGAAAAGAAAAGAGGAATATGTGAGACAAAAACAATTATTATAAGATCTTGATTTTACTAGAATGTTTTTGTTTAGATACAATGAAACTCCGTTGATTTTCCCCTCTTTTTAGTTATCATGTAATTGATTTCTATTAGAAGCATTTTACAGCATTAACCTTGATAAAAGAAAGCGCATTACACCATGTATATGCGTTGCTAAAAACCGTGTATGGAATGATAGCAGTAAGCAGGTGCCATTTGGAGGTTATTGCCATTAAAGTGTTTCGAACTATTGTGATGAAAAAAATTATAATTGCCTGAAAGTTATATCAGCCAAGATAATTAGCTGTCTAAACTACAGAAGTGGCACATTTCATTGAAGAAGCTGTGTACCAATTGTTGTCTTTTACTACTATAAAGGTGTAAACACAAAATGGATCATATTCCTGGAAGTGTTGTTATTAGTGTCAATAGCCCATATTGCTTGCTTCAAGCGTCATCGTGATATTTACAAAGCGCCGTAACACGATTCGCTTGAAATAGTTGTGGCATATTAAAAAAAACCTAACAATGCCTGGTCAAGTGGTGTACCAGCTTATCAGTCAATTAGCTTGATGTTTAGATACGGAAACAAAACATGTCTCTTCTTATTGCAAGGTTTATATAGATAAATGGGACTTTGACAAAAATAAATGATAAGCTCACCATGCTTTAAATACAAAATATCTTTAATTGTTGAATATTTCAAGTATTTGATTGTATCTTTCATATATATATATAATATGATTTGTTTCCATATAGAATAAACATTTTCTTGTTTTTCAATTTTCAAACGTTCATTTTACCTTTAACTTATAAATTCTATACGTATGTGTGTACCTACGTTATGTCTCCATTTGTCAATTGTGATGCATAGCTGGTTTTGTATAGAGGGTTGATGTTTTGCTAATGTGTGGAGCTATAAATAAAAATAATACGCATCCCTGAATCATTTACCCGATATAAAGCCTTGTTAGCATCATTTACAAATAAAGATTGTCATTTTATCTAATCATATACATTAATGAGTATACTAATATACAAGGAACAAAATCTAATATGGTTAATGTAATTACTTAACCTTCAAATATATGCAATATCATACCTTAAGACAAATGTCAAAAACAAGTTCATTAATATCATCATTTTTTTATAGCGAAGAATTTAGCAAATTTCAAGTGTACACTGTCAGTACAGCGCTTGGTATATAGTTTGTAATGCTGTCACAGCCTCCGTTTAACAATATTTTGGCACATTGCATCTGTGTCAAAAGTGCAATGTCAATGATTTGATGATATATAGTTCTTTGTGATGTGATGTTGTTGGAGGTTTAGAGAATACAAATGAATTTGAATTACCCTGAAGAAACCCTGATAATTTCTTAGGTTACTACGCTAAATGTGTTATAGAAAGCAATTACAACATCAATGACATACTCTCCAGTGACACGAACAAGACACATCGATCACCAAAGTGGAAAACGCCATCAGGTCTCCTCGGAAACAATTAAATATTCTATCTTTTACTAATAGAAAGTTTCGTGTCAATAAGTTTACAAACCAATGACATCAAGATTGTTTTTGTTTGCGTGTCTTGTTTAGCGTGTCTTGCCTTGCTGTACATATATATATATATATATATTCAAAGTTTTTTCTCTTAATCTCTGTGACGCAGTTTAATTCATTGTTTGGCTTTGCGGTGTCTTACTCTAAATTTGTAATAGAAGGTGCTATTCACTTATGTGTCTTTGGTATAATCATTCAGTGTAAATGGTTAAAAGACATAAATCTTCATTGTAAACAAGGCATTCAATGCACTAGTCAATGTTGATTGCACTACTTCCATTGGTAGCGGTATCTTCAATGAAAGCTATTTATTGTGGGTAATGCATTGGATAAAGTTAACTGCCATGCAGAATCCCATACTGAGTACAGAGTTAAGTGTAAAGCATTCTTTGTATTATAGGAACTTTCAATGAAAGTGACAAGGTCATTGTAACGTGTTGATTATACGAAGCTAGATGAACATTTACCATATTCATGTTAATCTGCCAAGTCCCAGACAACATGGAATAATGTTAACAAATAACTGTACATGTAGCAACAACTTGGGACCGTTTACAGCATGATTATTTCTGCAAAATGTGACGTAAGTTCCCAAAAGGTTTCCGATTGATGTTCGTTGCAGATAAAAAAAAAACTATAAACTTTATTTATTTTACAACAATTGCGAAACAAGTTGTTTCAACTTATACTTATCGCTCTTGTTGGCCCGGATGTAAGCACGCGAGGGAGGAAACCTTAGTACCAGGGGAAAATGCACATGGTCGGGCAGGTGACCTTTGCCTTTTCACGTCCGTTCCAGGAGTCGAACCCCGGACGGCTTGTTGAAAGGCGAGTGCGTTACCACTGCGCCAACCGGCCACCCGATCACCCAAGATCAGAATAGATGTTCTGCAGATGATCAGACTATAAATGATATCTTTCTATTTGCATCTGATGTAATAATTGTAAGAAGATAATTCAATAACACATTAATACATAAGGAACAGATTTGGCAAAATTAACTTAGACCTTAAAATCAGTATATACATGTGTATTCAATTCAATTCGTAACAACACAGTTTCATGCAAAAATTACAAAATGAAATAGAGTGATATGTGTGATTACATATTCAACCGTTTTCTCCATGTGAGAGATGCTATATATAAATATATAGTGAAAATGTGATGAATTCTCCGTGCCCAGTAAAAATCATAAAATAAAAAATTAAAAGACAGAAAAACATGATGAGCTGTAAAACATAAGCGCTTTCATTATATATATATATATATAATTAAAAGACTGGAAAACATTTTTTATATTTTTGCTGGGCACGGAGAATTCATTTTCACTATATATATATATAACGAAACCAGGTGTGAAACGTATTTGAAAATAATTTCATCAACGTCAAATAGCAGTCTGCAACACATGTTGGCATTGCCACCACTGTTGCTCCCTACGATGGATTTTGAATTTGAACGAGTTTTGCTGAGTATGAATTAAGATTATGTTTCCAGGTTGGTATTTTCTGGATGCTTTATATACAACTGTGCGAAACGTTATGTAACTGTTTCGATAGCATATGACCCTAAGATCGTTTTCGTTCATTCAGGAAGCTCGAAGTTTGCACCAATACTTCGTAATGCATTCATGGACATATCACGTCATTGAGCAAATCCTTAGATGAAACGATTAAATCGCGAAGATTGAATAATTGAAGGATATTAAACAAATAACTTTCGTTTTATTAAGACACATTCAAAGTCAAGTGTTAAATTCTACAAACAAGGCTTGAAGATTTTTTTTCTTTTATCAATAATGCCATGACTAGGATTCATGGCTACCATTATCACGTAATTTTGATGGACACTCGAGATAACTCAGGAACACTTATAAGTGGAAACTTCCGTGTCGTGGCCGTTATGCCGTCAATACGTGTGACTCTATTGGCGGTTAATATCAACAAACAGGGGTTTGTAATGTCCTGAGTAATCCAGACTTATTTAAAGCCAGGTCCAGCGTGTGCACAGTCATTAATCTCTACGGGTCCGCCTTATAGCTACAAAATCGATTCAACTATCAATTAATTAACACTTTTATCAAGTAAGGCGATAAAGTTGCTTCAAATTTGCACATTGAATTAACACTGACACGTTCGTTGGTCCATGGCTCGTTGCTACTTCAACCTTGTTAATATCCCAGGGGGAGGCATTCTAACAACAATGATAGAAACATAACACCTGGATGTTTGTAATCAGCTCGTAGCTGTATTGCCCAAGAGAGAACTATATCAGCCTTTGTTTTCAAATTCTTATTCTTGCCAGAATTGCGTCTCTGTTGAATTCACTTTATTTCTATATATAAATTAATTGCGTTAAAATACATTTCAACTTACAAATTCAAAATTTTTTAGTCGAAATAAAAGCTACACATGATCAAAATATTCGATGTAATTCATTTTGATGATAGCAAATGACATACATTGAAAGTTAGCAAATAACACCTAATAAGTATATAAAAATGTGTTTCTATACCAAATACCTTCTTTAAAATGTTATTTGAATGTACAGCAGGCAACGAAAGGAAACACATTCTATTTTAAGATAAGCACTGATGAGTGTGTTCACTGAGAATATGATCAGATATAACGTTCGAATAACAAAAAACACAAGCTTTCAAATTCATAAAATAAAAGGAAGCCATTTATGGTTCTGTGTATGTCTAAAGCGCTGAAACTCGTTGTTTTGAACAATGAAGGTAACTCTATTGATCCCTGAGAACTTAGTCTGTCTATTGCAATGCCGATAGTGTCATGATTTCCCGATCGTTTGGGATAAATTACTTTAAACAAAGCTTTTCAAAGGCCAATTGGTCAATATTCACTTGAGATTTGAAGTCCCTTTGTAATTGATAGGTCAATAATTAAACAACGAGGACGATACTGTTAATAATTCAACGGAAGTTTTAGAAATACCGATTTAAGCAGGATTAAGTATACTTGAATAAGGTGCGTGTCAAACAAGGAAAGCATTTTCATTATAGTGGGAAATGTGACGGAAATATGGTATAGGTCTATTGTGAGTGTCTGGACGGATGTGAACAATTGTACCATTAGCCCGTTAAAACGTTCATGTTTACTTATATATATATATATATATGCATATTCGATTATTTTTTTATTACATATTATTCATATTCCAACTGCGAATTGTGGTCGTGAAATGGGTAATTAGGAAAACATTATTCTGTATTCACTAAATATCTTATCTTGTCTACTACATCAGTATGGTATATTACTTCAATCTTTTTTTCTATACGAAAACAGCAGGGTCAGCTTTCCACGAACTTGTATTATAAACGTGATTATTTCAATTTCCCGATTGTGAATTTCTTGATAACAACGTCACTTTATCCCCAACTTATGGGTTGTC